TCCACACCCTCCCCCAGATGTCTGCAGAACACACTTACATTCAAACTTGGGCTTCTTGAGCATCTTCACCTTGCGCACGTAGACATCGTGCAGAGGGTAAATGGACTGACAGGCCTTCTCGATGTCCTTGCCAATGCTGTCTGGGATCCTGAGCAATCACAGAGCAACACAATGCTAAAAACTGCCTGCTTCTGCAGCAGCAACACAGGCTTAAAGAAATCCTTAATACAAAATATTCTACAAAAGTTGGTATCATCACTTTGACAATTTTCTTCAAGTGCATTTAGAATCTAAGACACCTCCTTCGCCACGTCAGAAGGGACATAGTGCAAGTGTGCTCATTTTGAGAGCAAACCTGCAAACTTCTGCAAGCAATCAGCACACTGAGAGACTCTTCTATCAGAAGAGCTCAGAGCATTCACAGCCCCAGTAGATCAGAATTGCAACTTTAGTCTGTAGAAATGTGAACCAGAAATCTTCTGGAAAGTGATTTTACATTTATGCACACGTGACAGTGGATTCAGGTCAGACAGGACGCAGAGACTGACAGAAGCCATTTGCACAAAAGGGTGATTGGCTTTTCCACACGAGGGGCTCCTTGCCTGGTCTCTGACCAACAGCCTGGAACGCACCAGCACTCCCCAGGCACTCAGCAACAACCAACCCTTAAACAAGGATTTCAACCGTAGGGGAGAAAAAATAACAGTGCCAAAGCTTACAGCTTATTGACAACTTCCTTCAGGTCATTGGTCTGCACCTCCCGGGTCATGATCTCCATCATTTTCTTGCGGATCTGCCGGACCTGCTGGTGCTGGGCGTAGGAGGTCTTGCGGATTTGGTTATTGCGCTTCTTGGTGAAGCCCACGCAGAAGAGGCGCAGCAGGTACCCATCCGTAGTCTTGACATCCACGTGGGCTTCAATCATTGTCTGCAAGAGGAAGCGCTGAACGTTTGGCACGCTGCAGCACAGGCTGCCCAGCCCCACGCCCCACACTTCAAACACGGCTCTGCCAGGCACAGCACTTCCCTCCCTCCCTCCCTCCCTGAGGCACCGCAGCGATGCTGTTTCTCACACACCTGCCATTTTTTCACCATGGAGCACATTTTGTCCCGTGTGAGGTCCATCCCATGGAAGTTGGTCAGACAATTTTTGCCCTGAACGTCCTCGGTGATCAGTTTGAATTTGCGGAAGGCAACCTCATCATTCTGCAGATCAGCCAGGCTCACCTCAAACACGCGGCCCTTCAGCCCGTCAGAGGCAATTTCTGTGGGGTGGAACAGAACAAAACACCTTAGATTAACATTAGGAGCACATCCTTCAAATCAGACACTGAATTCCCTCTGGAATCCTGTTCTCTGATGTTTCCTAACGGTGATCACAGAGCCAGCAAGGCTGACAACTTCTCCCTTTGGGAGGAATCTTTTCAAGGCAATAGTGCCAGGTGTGGGATATGAACAGCAGCACACAGCAGATCCCACCACGTGTAGTAATTTGGTTTGTTTCAAGCATAAAGGGGCTACAGAACATTTGGAAATTATCAACAGCAATGAGAAAACCAAACATAAAAAGCCACAAGTGCTCAGCAGGGGTGAAGCAGCAATGAACAGCCCGGCACAATTATTTCACAGCTCCTCCTCCAACGAGGAACCATTTTAACAACACTGGCTGGTTCACACTTCGTTCGGCAGTGACCCTCATTTTAACTGTTTCACATGTTACATGTTACAGCTCAAAGTAACAATCATCATTCTAACTCTGAGTGCAGCCAGCAGAGTATCTATCACAAAGCTATTTAGCCATTCTGCATGGCTAAGCCTCCAAAAACAGGGTTACTTCTATCCAGACCCCTCTGCATTCCTAACAGAGGTCTCCTCTTCTTAAGGTGTGCCAGATGATATAAACAGAATTTACCCCCAGTGATACATCAGTCCTCACAATAAGTCAGCAATTCTGGCTCTAATCTTTACCCAAAATCTTTAAATTTCAGATATTTCAGTGTCTTGATGTGCCGGTCGTTGCGATCCTATAAGGACTAAGGTCTCCTGTGGCACTGTCCCACATCTCCCCCGGTGACAATCAGAACTAGTGATTACTTGAACTTTTCCCAACTTGCCAAGTTACCACAAGAGGAACTCATAAGAAACTTCAGGCCCTTCCTTCCATGGTTTGGCATTCTTGTACAAAAAAGAGCCCGGTGTACGAACTTCCTGCAGCTAAGCTCATTTATTCAAGCAACACGGTCAACTCAAAAAAGAAAAAATCCACTCAAATCACCCAACTTTTCTAGTTTCCAAGCTCCTAGCAATACAAGCAAAACCCATTTTTTATCAGTCTTTTATCCAAGAAGTTCTTTAACCGCTTGGAGCCAGCACATGGAGCCAACACAATCCCCTGTTCTGTACTCACTAGTTCCTTGAGTCCTGGTGACAAGCGTCTTCCCGATGTTCCGGATATTGAACATCGCCGGTGCTTTGACATCGTACCAGTCCTTCTTGGAGAAAGGGTCGACCCTTAAATCAAAGGAATTAGATTTTTTAGCCGACATTCTCGGGCCGCACCGGGCTGCAGTAAGACCTTCCTCCCCGACTGCCCGCCGCTGCTCCCGCCCCGCCGGGCCCACGCCCGCCCGCCTGACGCCATGACAGCATCGGCCCCGCTCCGGCCGGGCGCCGCCGCCATCCGCCCCGCATCCCCGCCATCCCGCCGCCGCGCCGCCCCGCCCGGCGCCCCCGGGCACCGCCCGCCCTCGCCTCGGCCGCCCTTACACTTTCTTCTTGGCGCCCTTCTTGCCGCCCTTGGTGAGGCGCTTGTTCTTCCCGACCGCCATGGTTCGGCCCGCGCCGCGGAAAGGGCGGGGCGCGCGCGCTCCCGCGAGATTATACGAGAGCGGCGCTCGCGCGAGACCTGCGAGAACGGGGCCGCCTCCAGCGCCGGGGGCGGGGGCGGCCCGCGCGGGAGGTACCACGGTGGGACGGAACCAACGGCGCGGGAGGGGCGGGGGGAGCCCATGCCCGTGAGCGCCCCCGCCTGGACCTCTGCGGAACGCCCGGCCCTGGGAGCGCCCGGCACGGCATTTCCGATACCCCGGCCCGGCCCTCCCCGTCCCTGCTCCCCGAAAGTGGGGCCGCTGTGCGGATGGGCAGGGCCACAGGGACGGGGTTCGCTGCACCGACTGTACCCCGGTGAAAGGCAGGTGCCACCTCCTGCCCAGTCTGGTGTCTTCAAGCTGAATGATGTGTCCCCAGGCTGAATCTCGTCACCTTTTGTAGACGTAACTGTTGTCGTCTGGTATTTTCTACAATGTATTTCAAGCATCGCATAAGAGTACCATCATACAAATAAATATACATCGATAGACGAGGAATATGCTTTAGACAGGAGGGCTCACGTAAATTTTACTGTATAAAAGATGTTATTTTTTAAAACCCCATGGTGTGTTTGTCAAACCTCCAGCTTGCATCCCATGCAGAATAAATAATATCTCCTTTCTAAACTAGACTCTGTTTCTAAAGTCGGCAGCTTTCCCAGGCCTTGGGGTGCGAGGGGACAGCCAGAAGTTTGGTCTGGGCTGCCCCAAATGCCCCAGCCAGGGGCTCCTCTCAGCACCGCACAGGGCAGGAGGAGGCTCCGCTCAGCCCTCGGGCAGGGGCAGGGATGGCACATGGAGAAGCCGTGCCCAGGATAGTGCCAGGCAGTTGGGACCCCCTGGACAAGGGGTGACCACAGGCTGTGGCTCACCAAGGAGCCTCACAGCAGCCTCTGGCAAGGACATGCCTGAGGCTGTGCCGGGTAGGATGGGATCCAGCACAGGTACCTGCACCATGCCTGCTAGAGACAGCCCGCTGCCAAGCATCCAGGCTTGTTCCTCCTCCTGTGGGCGCCATCCCTTTTGCACCACACCAGGACAGTGGAAAGCAGAGTGTGTCTGGAGGGGACACGCTTTCCTTGGGGCTCCATTACGATGGTCAAAGGAAAGGAGTGTTTGGTGGGCTCAGGCTGGCTCCTGGCTCTGTGCTTCCCTCTGCATCAATGGAGCAGTTGGGACATTGGAGGTAGCAGTGAGGAAAATGCATCATGGCACTTCCCAGGAGGATGAATTTGCCAGCAAGGGGACACAGGGAAAAGAAACACGTAGGTCCCTTAGCACTGCAGAAGAGCCATGGATGTGCCACGTCTTTCAAGAGTGGTAGGAACATCTGCCAGCTGCCCCAGAGATGATGTCCCCCAAGATGGTGACATCCTGCCCACCACCAGGAAACCACGGATCTTGCCCTGCCACCAAAAGGAGCCAGGTATTCTGCCTTTCATGGGACAGGTGGCCAAGGCCAGAGTGGGCAGGGGCCACCCAAGGGGATGCACACAGACAGTCACGTGGCTCGTTAATGACTGCCTAATGACCTTGGGGGCCATGAGGGTGAGCAGGGCCTCCTGGACACCTGGCTCTCCCCAGACATCCACTGGACCTTGCTCTTTACCCTGCCCCTCCTCCTGGATCCTTGCCCATTGGGCACAGCTGGGGCCAGTATAAAAGAGGTGCAGAGTAGTGGGAGGGATCCCGGAGACCCTGAGGCCATAAGGGAAACTGAGGCGCGCACACAGGTGCGGGTGAAGGGTGCATTGGGGACCAGAATGTCTGTGGGAGGGGTCTGGGAGGAACCCGAGCATCCAGTGGGGAAGGAAGGCTGTGTATGGCATCCGGGTGTTGGGGGCACGGGGTGGATCTGTAGGGGAGCCAGGGGTCTGAGGAGCAGCTAGGGGGTGTTCCATGGGGGACTGAGGCTTCTGGGGGGTGCATGACTTTAGAGGAGCCATGCATCCAGGTGAATCCACAGATAGCCCAGCTGTCCAGAGATGGGCCCCCAGGCATCGGGAGGGGATTTGTATGGGACCCAGGGATCTGGGAGGGGGACTCTGTAGAATAACCAAGCTCCCAGGGTGGGATTTCCAGTCGGGGGCCCAGAGGTGCAGATGGCCGTAACCCCCCATTCCGCAGGTGTCCATGGCAGGCTGGGCGCTGTGCATGACGCTGGTGCTGGCAGTGCTGGCAGGGGCGGAGGGCGAGACGCGCTACGAGAAGTTCCTGCGGCAGCACGTGGACAGCCCGCGGACGTCCACGCTGGCGGCGCACCGCTACTGCGAGACCATGCTGGCGCGGCGCCGGGTGACGGGCCCGGGCAGGCCCTGCAAGCCCTCCAACACCTTCGTGCACGCCCCGCCCGCCGAGCTGGTGGCCGCCTGCTCGCAGGCGCCCGACCCTGCGACGGGCTTCCAGAGCACGCCGAGCGCGCTGAGCCTGACCATGTGCCGCCTGCGCGGCGGGGACACGCGGCCGCCGTGCAACTACCGCGCCCGCCAGGCCCAGCAGCACGTGCGCGTGGCCTGCCGCGACGGGCTGCCCGTGCACCTGGCCGGCACCTACACGGCCCCGCAGTGAGGCCTGCCATGGTGGTCTCATGGGCCCTCCGTGCCATCAGGGGCTCTGTTCGTGCTGCCCCGCAGTGAGGCCCGGCATGGCGCTCGCGTGGGCCCTCATGGATCCTCCCTCCTGTCAGGGGCTCTGTTCGTGCTGCCAATAAAGGAGGTGTCACAGGTCTGGGCTCCAGCATCAGCTTGTGGTGGGACCCTGCAATCCTACCCCCCCGCCCCCCGAATCCCTTAGGTGACCCCAATCCTGTATTTAGCCCTCATGTGCCTTATAAATCCCTGGGTTTTCCCAGCCTCCTGGGTGTCCCATAGCCCCCTGGGGTGTCTCTGCCCTCTCCTGTGCCCTCTCCCCTTTCTTGGGTGTCCCACAACTCCCACAGGTGTCCCACAACCACCAGCACCCTCCCAGCCCAAGGCCCATCAATCTCCTGGATGTGCACCTAGTCCTCTCCGCAATGTCCTGACCCTCTGAGTGGCAAATTTCTTTCCTGGATAGCCCATAACTATCACAGGGTTTCCCAACCTCCCACATGCCTTACAACCCCCCTGGGTACCCCCAAATTCCCCCATGTCTGCCCCACTCCTGCATGCCTCTGACCCCACCTGTGACCTCTCTGGGGCTGAGGCTGCTCCCCCTTGGGGCTCCCACAGGACTGAGCCCTGGCTGGGGCCACACAGAGCCCCAAGGCACCATCCCACACACCCTGAACACACAACACACGCACACAATGCACATAAAACCTGCACTGGGCACACAGCATGCAGCCACACTCACAACACAAAACATTCAACACTCACAGCCCTGCTCCGAGCACAGCATTAGCACACACAGGACACACATACCAGCACATACACACAGTATGCACACATACAGAAGTTGTGTTCCTGAGTCTTGATATGATTTCACAATTTCAGCTGGGGTTCATCACCTCTTGTCCTTCATTCTCCCTGTCAGTACTTAAAAGCTCCCCCTGTTTGAGCCTTCTCTTCTCCAGGCTGAACAGTCCCTGCTCTCTCAGCTCCTGCTCTGATCAGACGTGCTCCAGTACCTTCATCATCATCAATTCCTTGCTGGACTCTCTCCAGTATGTCCATGGCTCTCATGTACTCAGTCCACCACTGGATCCAGGACTCCAGGTGTGTCCCAGTGGTGCTGAGCAGAGGAGCAGGATCACCTCCCTGCACGTGCTGGCAGCACTCTGCCTGATGCAGCCCAGCAGGCTGGGGGACCCTTTGCTCTGGTCCTACTGCTGTGGGAGCCCTGAGAAGTCCCATGGCACTGCTGACATCCAGGGGCTGTGCTGCTACAAAAAGGCAGCCCAAATGCATCCAGAAAGTGTTGCTGTGAAGGAAAAGGAGTGCAGAAAGTGGTCTTCCCAATCCTTTTCCTCTCTCCCCAAGCTACCTCTTGCTCATGTGCCTCAAGTAAGTCAGGGGCTCCTTTCCTGAAATTCAGGTGAAGAGCATTTTGAGGGCCATCCATGGACTGGTGAGCTCCACCAAGGCCCAGTGAGGGAAGCCCTTCTCTCTGTGCACTGGGAAGGAATTGGGGTATTTCAAAGGTATTTGGGGCATTTCTGGACCAGCAACTTAGAGCACACTAATTTCTCCACCCTGCTCACTCCTAGCCATGGGAGGAGCTGACTGGCTCAGGAGGGAATTCTCGGGGTCTCTGCAAGTACAAGGGTTTGATCTCTGCTTCTTGCTCCCTTGGTTCTTCAGGATTTGGAGGAGGATTCCACCTCTCCACTTGTTCTCTGGTAGGTGAGATCATCCTGGCAGCGACAGAGAAACGTATCATCACTGAGATTTACCCCACAAGCTTTGCACTTCAGGCTCTGAAGTGCATGGGAGAGGGGGCACCTGTCCTGGGAACACAGCTCTTAGCTGCAGTCTAAAAACAGCAATGCCATTTCTGGGATGCCCAGCATGCTGCTGGAAAGTCTGGATGATTCCTGGCATCCTCCATTTGATGGCAGGGCAGCTCCACCACTTCAGCACATCCCATCCCATTACTGGACTCCTGGTTCACTCCTCTGCTGTGTTTTCTCCTAAGACGCAGCTGTGTTTCTTCAACATATGTTTGTGTCTGTTCTTTGTGAAGGCTAAAGGGAAAAAATAGCCACAAAGGAATCAGGATATCCAGAGGGTGTTGTGGCCTTTGCCACAAGCAGCAGTGGGCCATTTACAGGCGGTGGTCACCAAATTTGTAATAGCAGCAAGCAGCAAAAAGCCAGGGAGTGACTGGTGCCTGAAAATAAAGGAAGGAACTTTGCAATATTATGTTTTAATAAATCAGTGCATATATTTCCTCATTGGTTCCTCATTTAGGTACTTTCATGTCCTGCCCAACACAGTCAAACGTGAAGTTGTGAGGTTTGTGGTTGATTCTGCTTTGTAACACAGAAACTGATCATCTCTGCTTTGTGAGTGGGAGTTAAGCAACTTTCCTAAGGTCACAGAAAAGCCTGAGAGAGGACCTCAGTTCAGACCTCCTCAGCCCTATTTAACAGCCTCCCTTCCCATTTATGTGCTTTTTTTTCTGAAGAAAAATGTGACTAAAAATGTTTCAAGAACAGCACTATATGCCTAAAACTTGTCTCTGAGTCATATCTGCTTGACTTTCATGCCCAGACATTGCTTTGACAGTGGTCAGCCTGCTCTGCTCGCTCACTCTATTGTCAAACAATTAATTCCTTCGCCAGAAACTGGCTGTTGCTTGTTTAGCACAGGGAAATGAAACAAATAATCCTGAATCACGCACTTCATTACGGCTCACAAGCTTCCACCACCCAGCCTTTGATGATATAAGACGAGAGGCATGAGCAGTGTGTCAATATTTCCAGTGCTACTGTGGAAATTTCTTCCCGCTCCTTGAAAAGCAAGGGCATTTTTTTTCAGAACCATAGCAGAAAATTGCTTAAGCAGGCACTGCAAAGACCTTCAGAAGTATTTACTCAGCAAAGTCATGTATCAGCTCTATGGGTTTGGCACAACAAGTCCTGTGAAACCAGGCTGTTGCTGCAATTCATGCATGCCAAAACTGACATGGAAAAAGCTTCTTTCCAGGGTATCTATTGCTTCCTCTTAAAATACACCCTGCACAAATACAGCAAAATACAAGACAGTTTCTGTGAGGCACATCCACCTTTCTTGTGTGCTTGGACCACTGGGAAAGGGGCTGCCAGGCGGCCTGGGGGCAGCACGAGACTAGAAAACAGCCCTTTCCCCCTCCAGCAGTACCTCCGAGATCCTGGGTCTGTGCTGCTCCTCCAGTTGCTGCTCCTCAGCACTGTCCCTATGGCACACGCACCTCCACCTGAGCTCCCAGTCACACATCCTGCAATCCTCCTTCCCCCTGACTGAGTGACACACTTGGCCCCCAGGGTGCAGGGTCATCTGTGTCCCCTGCCACACAGGCAATGATCCATCCCCTCCACCATTCTGGCAGAGGTTCCTGGGCATGGGGACAAGAATGCCTGCTAGGAAAAGGGGAGCTGCTGCTCATGGCATGGTGGGAATGGCAAAGACAAGGAGAGCATAAGACAGCAAAGTCCTCAAACTCAGCTGTGGCACTCAGCTGAGGCCTAGGTGTCACTTTTCCCACAACAGCTACACATCAGAAATTCTAATGCACTTCTCCAGTTCAAGCATTGACACTAAGACCTAAAACCTAGGCTGGAGAAGAAGCATGAGCTACCAAAGGGGAACTACCAGGAAAACCAGGAGCTAAGAATTTCTGTTCATATGCAACCAAGAGGCCACCCACCCAATCTAAAAAAAATATAGCTGAAAAATACTGTTGTTGACCTCTTGGGCTCTGGTCTGCTGGGAATGCTGCTGCAAGGTGCCAAGACAAACACCAGAATCAGACTCAAGCGCTCAAACTCAAAGTAAAGAGTTTTGATCAAGTTAACATCCCACACCACGCAGGCCCTGTGCCAATACCTGTAACAGTGTTTGCCACTAAACTGAAACTCAGCATGCAAAATGGATCCAGTCTCATGTTTTGTGGGCTGGTTGAATGTTTGGCTACCTCTTGAGCCCACTGAGTACACAGCTAAAGGTTTGCAAGTGACCTGCCTTACAGATTATCTCCCCCTTGCCAGCGCAAAATGGATCTGTCATGGCCAGTCCTGTCTCTTTCAGTGCTCTCCTGCAGAGCTGCCACCAACCTCTTCCCTACATTCATGCTTAGAAACTGAGTCATCTCTTCATCTTATCTCAGAAAAACATGCTGGGCTCCTTCAGACAGGTTCTCCAGCTCTTTCATCACTCTGCTGGCCCATGTGAGACCACATGCAGCAAGTCAGAGCCAGACCTTTCAGTGTGTTGAGCCCAGAATGATCCATGGGATGGACAGTGGTTCCCAAGCCAGAAAAGCTCCTGCTACCTGTACCAGAGGGAAGTGAACCCAAAAGTCAGATGCAAGAAAGTCAATGTATAAAAAATTCCCAGCGGTCGCAGTTGGAGCCATCCCACATTCTTCCAGCAGGCAGGGACGTGCACAGCCTCCTCCCTAAGGGGATCAGGGGAAATTCATTGCAAATGGGTGCCCAGCCAAGGAACTATCCCCTCCCATCAGCAGCAACCATAGCCAAACAGATTAAAAAAAGAAACATCCAGGTGAGAAGCCTGGAAAGGATCCACAGAAAGTACACAAAGTGTCTAGAAAACCTGGGGAATTAAAATTCCCCAAAAGAGCAGGCTGTCTCTGGAGGTGAATCAAGGCTGGAGGAAGGTGCTCATGAAGTCTCCCTCTTAGAGCTGCGAGATAGGTAGCTCAGCTAGTGACATCCTGTCTCGGAAAAGCTGATGCTGGGCTCTCTCCAAATGTCCCAAACTTACCACTCCTCCAAGGGCTGCAGAACTGATGTCAGGAGCAGGGCACTCATCTCTGCCTCATGTTGGGGTGGAAAAGTAAAAGAAGCTTGCAACTGGTGAAAAATCTTTTTTTTTCCTCAGTAATACTGCCTCTCTCCCAAACTGAGTGCGTGCTCCGTGTCTAGA